GCGATCTCACCATCAAGTCCCAGTTTCTTTTTGGGTGCTGTGCATTGGAACTGTGGTTCTGTGCAACCATTGAGAATAATGTGCCATCAAGGAGAGGGGCCTGTCTGAGCTGCTCATGGCTCTTTTGTGAACTGCTTCTCAGTGGCTGCTGTACTGAAAGGTACATACAATTATGTGTGAATATTTTCTCTTTAACACCTACTTACGCGCTTTTTTTTTTTTTTCTCTTCCTGGGGAAATCTGTAGTTGATTAAAATTACCATGAATTTTCTTAGGTAATTGCTACCAAATGAAGCTGCGTGCAGTGTGCGTATGCATATGTGCAAATACAAAGAAGTGTGGATAAATACATACGTGGAAATAGGGGCACAGCTAATGGGAAACATCTCTCACTAAGCAATTAATTCACGGCTCTCCAGCCTGTGCCATGTCTTGGAGGTCACTCTGTGCTGCAGTGTTTTGTGTTCTCCTCTGCACCGGTGCTATAAAAATGCTAATTGTCCCCGTGAAGATGTAGGCTGTTTATAAGCACGGGCGTGATTGTTTTGCAGCCCTGTGAGATCTAAGGCGGTGTTATTTCAGGTTTGTAATTTGAATGTGTGATGAATACAACTTTGACAGTTTATTAGTTAGAAAAGGAGAAAAAATAACGGACACCAGTGTGTCGTTCTTCAGCGAATTGATTGCCAGGAGCATGTTACTGACTTTGGTGATAATATCATTATATATTTTACGGTCATAAAATCAAGAAATTCAGATTATACCCTGAGGGCTTCACACATTTAAATAAAGGATATAGCCATTTCCAGGGCTGTTGGTTTAGATTGCTGGATGCTGTGAGGAATACGTAGTGTGTTAGAAGTAGTGCACTTATTGCTGCGATGCCCTGGTTTATTTTCTTTTTCTGCTTGTGAAATACCCTTACTTACAAGTCCCCTGGGTTGCTCAACATGTTGGCATATTACTGCACTGCTGGCTCAATGCTCCGTGGGGCTGAGAGCTGTTACAGTCTGGTCCTGGACTTGTATTGAGGTGAAGGTGAGTCATCTTCAGGCACTCTGCCCAGGCTGTTCAGAGCTGGACTTTCTGCCTCATTTTCCTCTTGGACTACATAAGAGGGCTTTGAGAACTAGTTTACAGTCACATCTTGGGGTTGAGTGTACTTGAGGCACTTAGGTTGAGTACTTTGGATTTGGGCTTCAAGTCTGTCTGTAGTTTGGTGAAGGCATCTTAAGGCATATTGCCTTGGATGAAAATGATTGAATATATTTAAAACCTCGTTTATTACTTTTAGATTTATTGAGATCAATAAAGTACCCTAAACCTGCTGCAATGGGAAACCTCCCTGCTTCAGCTGCCAACACAGGACCACGTTGCATCACAGCACTCTGGGGATTTGTGGTGCTCTTAGGATTGCACAAATTCCAAGTGCAAAGCTGCAACCCTGCAGCAAAGGCCATGTTTGCTGCTTAGCAGGGAGTGGCTGTGGCTGGAATGCGTGTGGCTTCAAGTGGAGCAGTGGCATATAGAGGAGTAGATACAATAATCTCCCAGACGTTTACATTTAAAGTGCCTCTGAGGATCACAAATCCATATGCCGCAAACAAAACGTTTATTTGCCTATGTCAACAGTGGCATGCTTACTAATTAAAAGTCATTACCTTTCTAAATTGAGTTTGTGTGACATTGTTGTTAGTGTTCTTTTTGCTTTTGCATTCATTTCTCAGTGCGGGACCTGAGCATCAGTTCTGGTTTCCTTCTGGATGGTGAGATGTTTGTGTTTGATTGCAAACAAGTGCCTGGGATGTTTGGTTCATGAAAGTAATTTGTGAAGGAGTTCAAGAGCAAATCATTGGGCAATAACCATTGGTCTTGAAGGTAATGAAGTGTAATCCATTTTAGAATGGGCTAATGGTGTTGGTCATCTGATGAAAATCCCTTCCTGTACAGGGGATGGTGAGCAACTGAGGTGCACATGAACTTCTCACCCACTGTGGCTTCAATGAGTATGGGGGTCTGCGTAGTCAAAAAAAAGCACCCTACAATGGAAACCTAAGGAAATACATGTTTATAAAAATAAGTACCTGTCATTAAACACGTGTTCTAATTTTGCTCTAAACTGTTGTCTAGTAATGAATGGTGGAAAGCTTTCCGGTGCAATCGGCAGCACAAGGATTTGGAAAGCCAGTGTGAACGTGGATGGAGGAGATGTGGCCATACAGCAAGGAGAGAGACAAGTTGCAGATGGCTGGTTCGTAGCAGAGGGCAGTGCGTATGTGCATCTCCAGGCTTTACATGGGACATATGCTCAAGGGTTTTTATGGCTGAATTTGTAGTCTCTAGTAATTTGCAGTTTCCACCACAGTTTAAAATATCGACATCGTTTTCAGGTTGATGATTTTTCCAGTCATTTATCCCCCCAACCACTCCATCCTACTTAATCTGGGTCATAATTAACATGAGGCTTGTGCGTAGGCAAACACAGCCATACGTTGTGTTTGAATGGGCTATTAATGTCATAGATTTACTTTCATTCTGAAAAATAGATCATAGGTTGGAATAAGTATAAATGTTCAAATAAGTGGGTGAATGCACGCTCGTTATCATGACTCAGGAAGCACTCTGCAGTGCTTACGTGCACGGAGTCACAGCGATATTACTATTAGCTAACAGCTGCCTTCTGCTATAATGAAGACGTAAGGCTGAAAATTGTTGGCAAGAAAGCTGCTGGAATTGAATTTTATTTACTGCGAATCAACAGGATATCTTTGCACATGTAGGAGACATACGGGAAAAATCCACTGTGATCCTTGTAGTTTGTCGTGTCTCCAGATGTTCTCCCTCCTGCCCAACATTGGGGGCTGAAAGAGGAAAGGGTTTTTTCATCAATTCTGGCTGGCAGTGCCAACATCTGCCTTGGCGTTCCCCCGAGGCGAGCTGTTAACATTACTTCAAGTTTCAGATTTATCATTTGTGCCTCATTTGTGGCGTTTTGTTTCTTTCTTTTATTTAGTTAGCTATTCTTTAAATACCATGTGAGAGCATGAAGTTTCAACCTGCTGTTTATTTCCTTCTGAGGGAGCAGGAGCGAGAATAAATCAAAGGAGACAGTCGGGTGGCCCCTGAACTAGCACAGCATCCCTTCCCAGCTACCTTATTTTTAGGAATTATAAATAAGGCATCAAGACATTGCTCTGGGCAGATCCTTGTCATTGAATGAAATGGTATTTGTGTGCTCAAACACACTCCAAGACCTCAACATGCTTGAAATAGCATGTTTAACAAACATTTAGCCCTTTCTTAGTTCACAGCATGGACTGTGCTGTGTGCTAGGTGAAGGAGAAACAAATGAAGCTCTTCATTTGGAAGTATTCTTTCTTAGTCATGTATGCTACCTATATTTTCCCATGGTGAGATGGTAGAAATTTCAGTTCCATAGTTTTGAGCCAGGTTTGTTAATCCCCTTTGGTATGTGTGTAAAGCTAGCAAAGATTTTTGACCTGCTGGCAAAGATTTTTTTAATAGAAATGCAAAACAAAAGAGCTTTTTCCTCCTAATTTTGTCCTACTTATCAAAAACTACTTGTGCCAAAGCAGATTTTATTAATTTTTTCTGTTGTTCCTTTGAGTAGTATTTTTTCTGTGCTTCAATCTGTCCAATTAAGAATAAGTTTGAAGAATGTTTAGGGCCCTAATTCTCAAATGCAGTTGTCTAAAACTAGCTTCTTGTTTCTCTTTTACGATACCTAGAAGTACAAGGTGAGCTCTATGGCTGGATGGGAGTATAAATTCATGCAACATTGGTCCGTGTTTGGACCAAGTATTTGGCCTCCTTGAATCCCTGGAGGCAGTCAAGGCCAGGCTGGATGTGGCTCTGGGCAGCCTGGTCTGCTGGTTGGCGACCCTGCACATAGCAGAGGGGTTGAAACTGGATGATCATTGTGGTCCTTTTCAACCCAGGCCATTCTATGGTTCACGTATTTTGCTGGAATCCATTGGGAGCCAAAAATGTCCAACTCTTCAGGATGTCCCAGTTCTGCTTGCTTGTTTGTGCTGCAGGTATTTGGCTTTAGCTGCTTGCTTGCTTGCAATTATTTACAGCTCGCTGCTGCTTTTTGTTTCAGATTCTAGCACAAAGATCCAAAGGCAGCAGACAAAAGCATCTTTAAGCATGTTTAGGAAGACTGATTACACAAAATAAACCCCTCTGCAGACACTTGCTGGGGATGAGGAACCAAAGCATGACAAGTGCTTATATTCCTACAGTCAAAATGCCTTTCATGCGTCGCTGTAGTGCCGTGGTTGTGTGTACTCATCTGGTCTGCACACAGTAGTTTATGTACGCTGACCCTATCAGTGCTGTGCTTTATTAACCTGTGATTGCTTTTTTATTAAGAAACATCTCATGCCATTTTTCAGCTTCTCAGCTTGAGCGTATGAGAGCCAGCGCTGCTAGTGATGGCCCTTTGTATGTGTCTACCAACAGAAAGAACAGAACAAGGAGCTGGTGTTTATTGTGTGGGTTTTAGAGCGGCAGTATTCTTGAAGGAAATAACATTGTTTGTTTTTTTATTATTGAAATGATAATAGCCTGAGTATTGCTGATACAGTTAGATAAGTTGTAATGCGAGGGAACAGCAGCATGTTTCTGTGAGAGTTTTGTCTGCAAAATGAAGAATTCTCAAGTGTATTGGGATTAAAACAACCCAGGAAGATCAGAAGTGTTCAGATTTGTCAGGTCTGATTCGGGCTTATCTCTTATTTCCGTAAACCTAATTTGTGTGCAAATTTTGTGCAGGAGATTTTGTATGGCAACAATTCCACTGTGAATTCGTGTGAGGCAGTAAGGTCAAAAGGTTTTATTGAACTTGTACATTCCTTCTAATTTTATTCAAATGTTCACACGTTGAGGTAGGTGCTGGATCTGATTTACTACTTAACTGGGAGTTTTTATTCGTTTATTTGCCTGCAAATGTCACTGTTTCCCTTCTGTCTTTTCAGGTCAGGATCGCAGCGAAGCCACTTTAATAAAGAGGTTTAAAGGTGACGGTGTCCGATACAAAGCAAAGCTGATTGGGATCGATGAGGTTTCAGCCGCACGGGGAGACAAGTTATGCCAGGACTCCATGATGAAGCTCAAGGTGCAGTGCAGCCTTCAGTGTTTAATGCTTGGGAGGGATGGGGAGAGCATTTCAGCTTGAACTTTTGCTCATTCTCCATTCGTGACACCGAGTCACGCTCTGGTTAATTATGTATTGAAATCAGTCAATTTTACATGAACTCCTGGCTGGTACTGCTTATCCCAGTTTAATTTTAATACATTGTCTCAAAGTTCAGTAGTTATTCATGATTGACACCGCTGCAATTTGTCCACAAATTGCAAACAACACAGCTGCAAATTGAGTGGTTTTATTATGCAAAAGGAGAGGTGAAAGAATATAAGGAATAATAATACATGAGATTGTTGCGTATGACATTGTTAATGAACTCCAGCCTTCCCTTTAACCATTACCTTCTGCTGGGGTGGGCAGGAAGAGTGGAATAATGGTGTGGGCTGTAAGGTTCAGATATGGAACAGCGGGATTAAGGAGTTACAAAATATGAGGTTGGACCCTGAGAGGACAGGGAATGGGTTCCAGTCCTGTGGAGCAGGCAAGTGTAGGTGGTTGTTCATGAATAAGCAGCAAAGGGCGGCACGCATCTTCTACTGCAACAATCTGAAAGAGAGATGTGGTCAATAATTTACAAATCAAGAATTAAGTGGTTCAAAAAGACGCACTACAGACTTAACTTTGGCTGCCACAGTATTTCTATCTTTCTGATGGCTTACTGGATATTTCACAACATCCCATAGTTGCTAGTAGCAGTCAGGGAGACTTAGCACTGTTCTGCTGGGCGAGCCTTTGTATTTCTTTCCTCCATGGAATATTATTTCCACATCTCCAAGATGCCAGAGACCCATTTGTGTAATGGTGAGGTGGTTCTGAGCAGTATTTTGAGATAATGGAAACAGGGAAGGGAGCATTAGAAGTTTAGAAAATTAGAAGTAAGGCAGCATAGCAAGTTGGGAGTACCAGAAACTTAGTGTGTAACAGCAGGAGTTCTAAGGTCAGGAATCATTTTTGGGATGTCTGTTGACAAGTCAGTTGTTCTCTTTTATATTCATGTCTATGCAAGGGAAACGATGACCTCTAGTAGGCTTGAAGACATTTTGGAACATTTTTATTTGCTGTTTAATTTGCTTAATGTTTCATCTTATACACTGTTACTGATTAAGGCAGCAGGGCTCCCAAATAGGTGGAAATGGGTTTTCTTTTATGGTTAGGCTGTGGAAGTGTCATGTATGAATTGTGTATCAGCAAGTTCACTTTCAAAGGAAAAGCCAGAGATCATGAGCAAAACTAACCATGTATGCCAGGTTGTTGGGTTTTTTTTTTTACAGTAGAGGTGTAGTTTGCTGCTGCTTCTGTAAAAAACTCAGTTTGCTTACTTCAGGTAAGTGTGTACCCATGAAGCGAGCTTAAGTCATGGAAATTTTTTCCCCACTGATTGTTCACTGTGGGTTTTGTTGTTGTTGTTGCCTTAAAAAAAAAAAAAAAGCAAGAAAAAGAGAAAATGGAATGGCTTACAGCTGGAAGAAGTGCACTAGAAATGAACTTCAACATTCAAGAAAACAAATTCCACAGAGGATTAGCTAATATAGGGATTGAAAGTGGGAGCACGCTTGCAGTGATCTCTGGGTAGCATAAAAGGGATGGGTGCCTTTAGAAAAGGGAGAAGACCAAAAGTAAAGGGGTAGTATTCCTGGAGAGCCCTCAAGTATTCTTGGAAAGGTGATGAATTGTCAACATATGCTTTGCTGTGGGCACCTGTCAGAAAACAAAACCAGGAGAATAATGAAACCAGCCCAAGTATTTTTTGTTTCAACAGGGAATTGTTGCTGCGGCCCGTTCGAAAGGAGAGCATAAACAGAAAATCTTCTTAACAGTCTCCTTTGGTGGAATCAAAATCTTCGACGAAAAGACAGGGGTAAGTAACACAGCCATACAGTGGCACAAAATTGAATCTGTTCATGGATGTTCCTTTAAAAGTATTTCCTCGCTGGGCAGTAATATCTCAGCAGTATAGGCACACATAAAACTTCTGACAAGCTTGATAAAGGGTTATCATATATCAGAACAAGCCATTAGATGACTGAGTTGTAAAGTGTAGCATGGGGATGTGGTTTATTGTAAAGCTTTGTCCTGGCTACTTCTGCAGAACAATTTACTTGAGTACATGAATGCTCCTTATGGGCATCAACACTCACAGCTCGGAGGCCAGAAAGTGGCAGGGAGTGATTTGTTTTCCTTTTGCCAGCTTCCAAAATTGCTTCTTGGAAATACCAGCGGTCTGTTTGCAGGCTGGTAATGTCACCCATAGGGGTTTCCTCATCCATCGTGGGCCCAGCCCACCGCTCCTCCAGGTGCTGCTTTAGGCTGCTCAGCAGCAGAGGGCAAACGACTTCTGAGAGTCTTTTCATAAAGGTTTAGGATTGAGGTTGGCTTGGAGTGGGCTACATGTGACATGGGAAGCTGAGGTGAGCTGTGGGCAAACCCAGGTGAGTGAAGCTTGTTTTCCCAATAGAGAAGACAAAGAGGAAGGGCAGCAGGAGCTGCACACACTTTGTTGGGGTTTGCAGGATAATTTGAGTAGGAGGGGACCTTTCCCCTCATCTGTTTTATGTCCAACAGGCCATGTGAGTTACCATTGTGCCTTGACTAACAGTACACAAAAATCCAAGAGCCACTGCTGCTGCAGTCTACAGCTGTCCCATAGTTCAGATTACGGTTGTGTCAGTAACCCAGGCAAGAGATCTATTAAATCTATGATTCCATGATATTTCTGTCAGCAGCAACATTGCTCTTTTGTAAGATATGCAGTAAACGTGAGAATTGGTGTATTTTAAACATAATTGTTAGGAAAAATATGTATATTGTATGGGATCCAAGGTCTACGGTGTATTTTACTTTGGGGATGCACTTTGAGGCTACCAAGCAGCCACTTTCCTGCAGCATTGGGTCAAGCAAGATGCAGACTACACTGTCTGGTGCAGTTTTTGCCACAGAATTAACATGTTTGGTTATTTTTAACTGCTTTGAAAGAAGAAAGCTAAGCAGAACATTATACTACTTAGACACAAAGGCACAACACACAAACTGTTTTAATCCTAATTAAGAAGATTTTTATAGCAGTTTAAGCTCTGCCTTGAATTTTAAAAGGCTCTTGATTTAATCTTTTGAAAGATTAACTATTTAACACGATGCCAGAAATAAAACCCTACTGATGATAGATGAAATTATCTTTGCCAGTTAATTTATATTATTAGAAAATCAATGTCATTGAGCTCACTGATACATAATACAAGCAGTTAGTAATGAAGAGCTCGTTTGGAATGTGCTGTGTACTGCATGTGTAAAGTAATCATATAAAAGCAGTGTTGAAGAGAACATTGCTGAGATTACAGCCTGTGCGTGGAAGATAGGAAGTGTCAGAATTGGGGCTTGGCAGAGCAGTCATGGTTGAGTCCTCCAGCATGTAGACATTACGATAGTATTTAACATGATAGCATGCCTTCTTTTTTCCTTTTGTCAGAGAACACCAGCTTCATTCAGTGCATGGAGCAAAGTTTTCACTCCACCAACAACATATCCACTATTTTGTTTTCTTTTTCTTTTGTGTGCAGACCGGTGCCTCACCGCACCCTATGCGAAGGGCAATAAGGCAGCCTGTTACTTTCCTTTTAGTCTTCTCTTGGGAACATAAAAAAGAAGAGGCAGACCTGTCCTGGGGCACTTATCTCTGAGTGTTTCACAAACGTTGGATTTATTTTCATAAAAGTGGCACTGAGAAAAGGGATGCGTTTAGAAATAAAGCTGTCGTTCAGCCAGATTGCCTCTCCTGCAGCATTCCTGCTCTCTCGCATCTGCAGCTAGTGAGGTGGGGACATGACAAGTCTCCTTCGAAGATTTCATAACTCTGACACCCTGTACTCTAAATCTGACATAACTATATCATCCTCAGAGCAGCGCTGTCACTCACTCACTGAGCCATAGACGGAAAGCTTTAAATCCACCTTCCAGATGTCTGCCCCTGAGCTGCCGGAGTGATGTACGGGACTATTGGGTTGTCACTTTTGAAATAGGACTGTGACAAAGGGATGTGGGGTGCTTTCTCCAGCAGGTTTAACGTGACTCTTTCATTTTACGTGCTTTTCATTTCCATGCTTTTAAAGCTGGCTTGCGTGGGCTTCTTTGCCAGCTCCTCACAGTCACCATACTATCAGCTTCATCCCCAGACAAAATAAGTTCAGTGCAATTAGGCAGTGATAATCCCATTCTCAATGTGGAGGTGAAAGGGAGAATCTCCAGCAGGTGAAACTGGGCATGTATGTTTGCTCTTCTGGTAAGGAAAGGAAAGGGAACTGCAAAAAGGTCACAGTTTGTGCTCATAGATCTGATGACCACGTAATAGTTTCTAAAGTTTGGAGTCCGATGTTGAGATCTGTGCAACAGGGAATAAAATATGCCCTTAATATGTAACAGCCTGGGTAATCTTGCGTTTGCTTTCTCCTTTCACTGCCCTCCAACCCCCTGCCAAGGCTTCCCCCCTTAGCTGTGTTTTTCTGCAATTTTGGGATTCTCAGAATGCTGTTTTGGTTCACAGTGCTCTTTTAAGGCTGCCTACCTCTCTAGGATGCCCTTTCCTAGCTTTTATCATTAGCTATTGGTGTCATGTCTTCCACAATGGCAGCCTGACGAGATATGAAAGAGAGAAAAATATTCTGAAAAAATATAGGCTTCTCTGTGTTTGCTATCTTGTGTGCTACTATTGGATTTTAATTTATCACAATAAAAAATCAATTTGTAGCTCAAAACTAGCAAATTTTTAAAAATTGGCAATGTCATAGCTGACTTCATACAAATGACTTAGGAGAATTGCTCCATAATTCATTGCAGATGAAGGGCTGTAGTCGGGCTATTCCTGAAAATCATAAGCATGATTTTCTTCTCCTGCACTTTATAGGTCTAATAGGTTCCAGACCTTATATTCATCAAAAAGTATTGATTTTAATCATACCATTTTTCCAGCCGTCAGGAATTCTGCCCTTTGAGTAAATTTATCCGTGAAGGAGGTTAGGTTGAAAATGGAAAAATATTTGGGAAGATTTTATTTAAGGAGGCTACAAGGAGTATTTGCTGTGAGTTTGCACCATAGGCACGAGGCGCTGTAATGCATCTTCAGCACTGCGAAAGCAACAAAATCCTTAACTCCACATAGCAGGATATGCAAATTTTTTAAGGGCCCATCATTGTTCATTAGCTATTTATGAGTATTATTTTGTTAATCACACACATCAGGCTATCTTGCTGTGATAGCTTAGTAATGCTTCATTAGACACGCATGACTAATACGGTCTCTGTAAAGAGGCTGTAATTGTCTCATTGTTTATTAATGTTACAATAAATCTTTGTTTACTGTAGGTTACTTTCCAAAATGTGTTCAAAAACAATACTAGTATAAAATAGTAAGGAAACTGTTTTCTCCTACATTCATGTAACGAGGTATACTTTTACATTCATGCTTTACCTGCAAAATTCTGTTGATGTTAATGAAAGCCCAGACACTGTGAAAGACAAATATGACAAAGGCAAAAAATGCTGTTAAGCTTTAAGTCAGGAATTATTTCTGTTAAAGTAAAATTTGGTTTCAGGGATAGACAGATTACTTGAATACACTGCAATATGTATATCTCTACAAACTATTATTACTGGTGAAATACCCAGATTCTTCTGTCATCCAAAAAGTGTGGTAGACCTGTATCAGTACCTTGTTTGTCTGAAACAGCATAAACTATGGATTGTGACCCAATCTATTAAGATGCCAACCATTTCACCCACTCCTCTTATTTTGTCACCCAAAGAGTGAGTCTCATTTTCATGATTTCTTAGGCACTTTGGAGAGGTTAGTTGTTCAGTGACACCAACCCATATCTTGATGAAAATACAGGGCTTGGCCACAGCCTGTGTTGTAAAATTCCTTTGTTACGTGCGCGAAGAAGTATTGCAGTGTGGTGCTCATGTTTTATGAATTTAATCCACAGCCATTTTCTTCAGGCTTTCAATATGAAGCTGAGAAAGGAAAATGGTGTATGTATATCATGTTGGCCATCTACTCTCACTCTTCCTGCTGGCCTCAGATAGTTCTCTTCTGGTGAGTTTATGTTACAGCTGTGACATGACCCAATCATGGGTTTAGATTTCTACATCTTGCCCATCTTGCTGACCTTTTAAGCTTTCTTGACCTTCTACTGCAGAGGCTTTTTCAGGTTGTTGCTGAGGCTTCTGTAAAGCATTTTCCAGGTTGATCAGAGGCTGTGACAGTTTTGTGTCTGATATCCCCAGTATTGGGTACTCTTTTTTTTGGGTACTCCATGTGATGAGAATGACAGTGTTAATTACGCTGATAGATTGCTAACAGGACAGCTGAAGTTGGCTGAAAGAAAATTTTAGCAAGATGAAAATTCTCACTGTTGGCTGAAGATACCTCATTTAAAACGTACCAAAGGTAGTTCTTGATTTTACTGGAAATCTGTTGGTTCTGGCGTCTTTGACCAGAAATCGAGGTATGATTATGGATCTCTAATTACTCTTTGAAGCACATGTGCTGGAGCAGATGAAATGTCAAACTGTCAAGTCTCTCTCACTGAGCATCTCTGAATATTTAAAAATAGAAATAAAGGAAGGAATTCTTTTTATCTGCTTCGTACTCGCTCTGCAGTGAGCTGCAGAGATGGTAATGAGTAGTTCATCAGATTCTCGTGTTTGCTGGAGCATGGTGATGTGCAGAAAGTTGTGAAGGTCCCCTCCTGGAGCCCTCTCTGGATCCAGTACAGAACACGCCAGGATTAGCTTTCATTCCTTTCATTTCTTTAAAATTGGTCTTCCCAAAGTCCCTGTGGCCTCTTTGTGGCTGATGGCATTGGCGTC